AATCGGTTGCACTTGGATCCTTGGTGCCTGTGTATGTCTATAAAGTCATCAGGTAGATTTCAATGGTATTGTTTATCACCTCTACTAATTAACATGATGTAAATTTCCATGCTTCCTCCTCAAATATAATACATTTTTAAAAAATTGTTGATTTTTTGTGTCTTTAATATTTTATTATTTTTATTTTATGTGTAAGAGTGTATTGCCTGCATGTATGTGAGTGCACCCGTGTCCTGCAATGCCGTGGAGGTCAGAAGAGGGCCCTGGATTCCCCTGGAACTGGAGTTAAGGACGGTTCGCAGCCACCACGTGGGTGCTGGGAATCGAACCCGGGTCCTCTGCAAGAGCAGTCAGTGCTCTGAACCGCCGAGCCATCTCTCTAGAGAGCCCCAAATTTATATATTTTTAAAAAATTGGAATAAGCTTGTACTTGGGTGTTCACAGGAAGTTTGTGATATTCCAGAGATCTTATCTTACTGTGTTTCCCTAAGAATGAAAAAGCACACTGGAGGGTTGGAGTTGTACCCAAAAGTTTGATCTCATTTCTTGACCTTATTTCCTTTGAGATAGATTGAGGCTCAGACATTGAGGTGATGGCCCAAGTTTAGAAGCAGCCACTGTCTCTGCGCAGGGAAATGTGTGGAGTTCTCATTTTAGGACACCCAGTCACATGTAGGAACTGCTGTTATACTTCCTCTAATGTGAGCATGTGAACAAGGTTGGTTTTGTGTCACTTTCTGCAAACTTCCTGCCTTTCTGAGTTGTTTGGGTGAGAGTAGCCAGGCTACTGTGGGATATGGGGAACCTACCTCAGGAGGTCTGTGCACTGCTCTGCCCTTTGCTAACTTGATGGGCACAGCCTCTCCGGGATGGCAGAGTGCACCCAGTTGGCTGTCCTTTCTTCCGGGCCCCCTGTCCAGGAGCAGAGCTGACAAAGGAGATTCCTGAGAGAGCGCCTTCTTATCGCGGAAAGTGCTGAGCCAAGAGCTCCTAGCTGCTGCCCCTTTTGCAGATGCAAGAGCCTGTGAACCTTGGACCAGAAGATTGCTTAACACTCTTCCTTTCCCTCACCCCTTCCTTTTCGAACCTCCTTGTTCTCCTCCGCCCTTCTTGACTGAGATCTGAAGTCATTTGTCTGGGCTTCCCTCTTCCTGTTGGATGAAAAGGAGCAGTTGGACCACTGTTTTCAGAGGGTGCGGTCGCAGAGACGGTGCGACGGTGGCTGGCCTTTGCTGTGGGAACCTGCTTATATCCGGGGGCCCCGGAGTGAGTGTGTCCCACCCTGTCACCTTCTAGCGTTCCTCTTGCTAAACCCTGCTGCTCTGCCTGTCCCATCGATCACTTCCTCCAGGTCCAGAGCCTCTTGCCGTAGTTAGTATTCCCGTCCGTGCCTGGCTAAGCTTTTCTCTTCTCTGCAGCTGTCTCTACCTCTGTATTTCCAGACATCAGCTGCCCACCGGTAGAGCTTTCCTTGGTTTGGGTGGTGTGGTTCCAGCAGGAGCTCTGGGGTCGGGGGGCATTCTCAGCTACCTCTGGTCATCTCTGGGTTTCTTGTCTGTTTGGGCCACTCTCATTCATATTTCTTGACTGATACAACTATGTGGATGTGAGGGATTTGGTGACAGGATACCCGGAGTGCTAGAGTACAGGTATCTGCAGAGGAAAACTACAGAAAGAATTGCCTGCCTTTTTTCAGGAGGGTGGGGCATCTTGGGCTTTTCCAGGGTTGAAGATGCTAGCTGATGTTAATGGCTGTTCTGGAACAGGGAGGTGATTGTCAGTTCCCAACAGGATCTCTGAAACCTTCAAGCTTGCTAGAGCTACAGTCTTTGGGTAGAGGAGCAACACAGACATCTCAGATCAGTTCTTGCAAGGCTGGCTCTTCAGGCTTGGTCTCAGCCTAGGTGACATTTGAGGCTGAAATTGCAGGGAAGACAGACTTTTTGGGGGTACTTCAAAGGCTAAAAAAAGGCTCAAAACCACTGTATTTGTACCCAGAGCTGCCAAACTACCCCATGCTAGTGTCAGAAGAACCAGGATTTAGTTGTCAGGGAAATCAGGTGTGCTGCATCATGTTAAGGATGAGAACCAGGCACCTTCTGGGGTAAATTCAAGCTGGGGCCATTTTGAAGAGCTGCTGGAGGAGAGGTTATTGGGAAGTGGGAATGGAGAAGTCTGGGGGGGAAGTGAGGTGCTATATAATTACCAACCACCCAGTCATCTTTCTTTCTTAGAGGGCAATGCCAGGAAGCTGGTGAAGGCTCTCCTCCTCTCCGCCATGGTCAACAGCACCAAGTATGAAGTGGCCCCCCAGCACGAGGCAGATGCCTCCCCTCTAGGCCATGCAGCCAGCCCAGGGACTGAGCAGGTAAAACTGAAGAAGGAGATCTCGCTGCTTAATGGCGTGTGCCTGATAGTGGGGAACATGATTGGCTCCGGCATCTTTGTGTCCCCCAAGGGTGTGCTCATGTACAGCGCCTCCTTTGGCCTCTCACTGGTCATCTGGGCTGTCGGGGGCATTTTCTCCGTTTTTGGGGCCCTTTGTTATGCCGAACTGGGTACCACGATTAAGAAATCTGGGGCCAGCTATGCTTACATCCTGGAGGCCTTCGGGGGACTTCTTGCCTTCATCCGCCTCTGGACCTCTCTGCTCATCATCGAACCCACCAGCCAGGCGGTCATTGCCATCACCTTTGCCAACTACATGGTGCAGCCCCTCTTCCCAAGCTGTGGTGCCCCATATGCTGCTGGCCGTCTGCTGGCTGCTACCTGTATCTGTAAGTAGGGATGGGTGAGCAAGGGTGGGTGGAGGACTGGGCAGAGTGGGCATGTGAGTCCAGTTAAGAAGTAAGGAGTTGGAAAATGAATGCCTCTGAGGATATGCTGTTTTTTATTTTCAAATTAATATATACTGTGGGGATGTAGCTTAGTGTGAGCACTGAGGTGAAGGCCCTGGGCTGGATTACCAGCACTGCTTCCTCCAAAAGTTTTGTGTGAAAATTTAACTTAGTTTAAGGGTTGGTGATGTTGGTCAGTGGATAGAGTGCCTGGTAAGCATGAGGCCCTATGTTCTATCCCCAGCACTGCATAAACCATGGTGGTAGCAATACCTGTAGACCCAGGGTCTGGGAGATGGAGGCTTCCTGAGGATGGGGAGTTCAAGGTCATCATCCTTTCTTTAACAGTTTGAGCCCAACTTGGGCTACATGAGACCCTGTTTCAAAAAACAAACGGCTGGGCACGGTGGCGCATCCTTTTAATCCCAGCACATTTGAGGTGAAGGTTGGTAGATCTTTTTGAGTTTGAGGTCAGCCTAGCCTATGTAGTGAGTTCCAGGCCAACCAGGGCTACATAGTGAGACCGTCTCAAACAAACCATCCACCAAATAAATAAACATGAATTAAATTTTTTTTATTTATTATTTTTATGTGTGTGTACTGCCTGCATGTATGTGAGTGCACCTGTGTTGTGCAATGTCGCGGAGGTCAGAAAAGGGCTTTGGATTCCCTTGGAACTGGAGTTAAATTTGGTCCATAGCTGCCATGTGGGAATTGAACCTGTCCTCTGCAAGAACAGTCAGTGCTCTTAACCGCTGAGCCGTCTCTCCAGCCCCAAACATCAATTCATTTTAATACAGTGCTAAAAAGTAAAGAAAGCCACTCATCTTTCCCTTATGATAACTGCCGATAGCAATCCGTATGCTCTTCGTAATTTTTCTCCTTCAGGAATAGTTGTGTTCTGTCTTTTACCAAAGTAGATAATACTGTCATACTTGTAACTCTGTTTTTTTTTTTTTTTTTTTTTTTTTTTGAGATAGGATCTCCCTGTAGCCCCAGTTGGCCTGGAACTCACTATGTAGAACAGGCTGGCCTTGAACTCACAGAGATCTTCCTGCCTCAGTCTCCCGAGTGCTCGGTTTGAAGGTATGCGCCACCACACCCAGCTCATACTTGTAACTCTGTAACATCCTTAGCGTTTATCAGTGACATTCATTTCTACTTAGAGATTTATTTTTTCTTTAGAAAGGTCTCTGTGTAGCTCGGGCTGGCCTTAAACTGGAATTGATTCTCCTGCACCTGCTTCCTAAGTGTTAAGATTACAGGGTTGTGTCATCATACCTAACTTAAAATTATTTTTAATTTTAATTTTTGTGTTTTTTGAGATAAGGCCTCACTGTGTAGCTCAGGCTGGCTTGGAACTCATGATCTTCCTGCTCAACTTTCCAGTGCAGGACTGAGATCTACCTTTTAAAAATGTGTCATGTTATTTCATGTTAGGTTTAACGATGTACTGTGGATGTAACTTACTTAGCCAGTCCTGTTCATGGCCATGTGCGTTAGTTCCAGTTTCTCAGTTGTACAGATAATGATGAAGAAAATGAAGCCATGCACTGTGTATTCTTTATGTGAAAATTATGTATTTTTCAGGAGGTTTTATTTTTATTTTTGAGACAGGATCTTGCTATGTAGCTCAGACTGACTAGAACTTACCATTTTCCTAGGCTGGCCTTGAACTTGGGATCCTCCTGTCACAGCCTCCCAAGTGCTGGAATTATAGGCATGTGCCATCATACCTTATTTCATGAGTAATTTTTAATTATATATATATTTAAATCGATACATAGTAATTGTACATATGATGGGATACAGTGTGGCATTTGAATACATATGTACTGTGTGCAATGGGATCAGGTCAGGTAATTAGCATATCTATTATCTCATATGTCTATCATCATTTCTTTGTGTTGGGAACATTCAAAGTCCTGTAAACTGTTGGGAAGCATTCAATGTATTGCTATCAGCCATAGTCCTACTATGCTAGAGAAACTTGGAAATTGTGTCCTTTCCAATTGCACTCCTGTACCCATCAATCATTCCCCTTTCCATTCCTCTTGGCTTTCCTGCCCCTTCCTGGATTCTGGTATTCCTCTTCCTCCTCCTCTTCCTCCTCCTCTCCCTCCACCTCCTAGTCTTTACCACTGTTCTATTTTTAGCTCAAACTTTAACGATTTTATTTATTTTTGTGTACGTATGTGTGGGTGCATGCGTACTGTAGCACCTTGTATTTGGAGGTCAGAGGACAACTTTTGGGAGTCCCTTCTCTCCTCCCATAATGTAGGTCCCAGGAATGGAACTCATCCTCAGGCTTGGTAGCACATGCCCTTACTTGCTGAGCCATCTCGCTGGCCTTTGATTTATTTTTTAGTTGATTTTTGCATGTGGTAAGAGGTAAGAGTCTATTTCTTTCTTTTGCATGTGAATATCCAGTTTTCTATTGCTTTTCTCCAAGTACATTCTTTTTAAAAAGACTTATTTTTATGCTATGCGCATAACTGTTTTGCCTGTATGTAAGTGTCCTTGGTATGTGTACAGTGCCCAGGTAGGCCAGAAGAGGGTGATGGAGCTGCCATGTGGGTGCTGGGACTGAACCTGGGTCCTCTGCAAGAGCAGCTAGTACCCTTAGCATCTGAGCCAGTGCTCCAGTCCCTCCCATGTATATATTCTTGCTGCCCTTGCTGAAAATTTGTTGACTGTAAACATATGGTTCTATTTCCGGGGTCTCAGTTCTGTTCCATTGGCCTATGTGTCTGCCTTTTTTTTTGAGGACAGGGTCTCACTGTGCAGCCCCAGCTGGCCTGGAACTTTGTAGATCAGGCTGGCCTCAAACTCAGAGATCTGCCTGCCTCGGCCTCCCAGCTGCTGGGACTAAAGCTGTGCACCAGCACGTGCAGCAGCTTGGTTTTGTATTTTGCACCTTCACTGAATTTATCAGTTCTAGCAGTTTTTGGGTGGAGTCTTGAGGTTTTCTATATATAAACTAGTGTCATATGCAAACCAGGATAGAGGTCGATTTCCTCTTTTCCTGTTTCAGTGCTCTTTATTTCTTCCCTGGCCTTATTTCTGTGGCCAACACTTCTCATACTATACTATGTGAGAGTCTAGCTGGGCCTGGTAGTGCATGCCTATAATCTCAGTATTTGGGAGGTGGAGGCAGGAAGGTCAGGAGCTCAAGGTCATTCTTGGCTACATAGTGAGCTCAAGGTCCACCTGCGTTACCTGAGACCCTGTCTTAGCCCCCAAGCCCCCAATTTTTTTTTTTTTTTGGAGATGAGGTCTCACTATGTAGTTGAGACTGACTTCAAACTTGAGTTTGTGGCCCAGGCTCCCCTCAAACTGAAAATTCTCCTGCCTCAGCCTCCTGAATACTGTGATTACAAATGTGTGCTAGAATGTTCAGCTTTTATTTTTTTAAAGATTTATTTGTGTATTTTGTGGTGCTATGGCTGGAACTCAGTGCCCTGTTCAAGTGCTTATGACATATATATTTGTCTTTATGTGTGTATGTGTGTGTGTTTGTGTGCATTCACATGTGGCAGTCCAAGGACAATCTCAGTCAGGTGTCAGCCCTCATCATCTACCTTGTTTGAGACAAGGTCTCTTTAAAAGATTATTTATTATTTGAAATTTCATCATGTTTATAATACATTTTGGTCATTTCCCCCCCATTACCTTCTCTCATCCCTCCCACTGAACCCACTTGGTCCCAGCAAACTCCCCTCCTATTTCATGTCCTTTTTGTTTGTATATTTGTTTTGTTTTCTTGTGACCCACTGAATTTATTTAGGGTTGCTTGAGCATTGGTGGAGTTACCTACTGGAACATGGCAGCTTACCAGGGGCTAGACCACTGAAGAAGACTCTTCTCCCTCCTCCAGCAACCATTAACTGCCAGTGGGCAGAGAGGGGCCTTAGGAGCCCCTCTATAGTCCCTAGTGGAGTGTTGATTGGCCCATCTGGTGCAGGCCTTGTGCAGGTAACCACAGCTGCTGAGAGTTTAAGTGTAAGGATCATGTCCTGCCTAGAAGACAGCACTGGATGGCGCTCCTCCCTACCCTCCGGCTCTTACATTCTTTCTGCCGTCTATGTCCTTGAACCTTGGGGGGGCGGGGTAACAGATGTTTCACTTGGAGCTGAGCACTCAATAGTAACTTGTTTTCAGCACATTGACCAGTTATGTGTCTCTGCATTAACTGTTGCTCAGTGCAAAAGGAGCTTCTCTGACCAACATTGAGAGCAACATTAATCTGTGGGTATAAACAAGTATTTAGATGGCAGTTTGACACCATGTCCACTTAGTAAACAACAGTAGTAGGTTCCTGCTTAGGGCTCATGACCTCTTGAGCCAGAATCTTCAGTACCAGGCATACCTGTGGAGCAGGCCTCAAATCTAATCACAGAGTGGTTGGTTACTCCTATAACAGACACATCTTTTTATTTTTATTTTTTGGTCTTTTTGAGACAGGGTCTCCTTGTAGCCCTAAATGGCCTGGAACTCACTATGTAAACCAGGCTGGCCTTGAACTCACAGAGATCTGCCTGCTTCTGCCTCCTGAGTGCTGGGATTAAAGGCGTGCGCCACCACGCCCGGCTACAGCCACATTTTCTATTGCATGAGTGGGTACATCTTGCCAGGCAGGTGGGTACTGTAGCATGTTTGATTCACAGCTGGGTAAGACTGTTGATGACTTTTCTCCCCCAGCAGTCTGCATAGCACCTTCCTGCACTATGAAAGCTAAACAGTAGGGAAGAAACTAGCTCAGTTCCAGCTTGATTTCTTTATGTTCTATAACCGGTGTGTGGTGTCTTCAGCAATAGGGTTTTACCATCTAGTTCTGGTAGGCAACCAAGAGCAATAATAATAGCTTATATTGCTTTGAAGACCTCTGGGTCTTTCCTGACCAACCACTCCTAGGGAAGTGTCCCATGCTGAGACAGGTC